CCCGCGCGCCGCCTTCCCGACTCGGCGCGGGACGCGGGACGCGGGACACGCGGGACGGGGACGCCCCGGCCAGGGGGAAGCCCCGGAACCCCCCGCGCGCTGCCGGTGACGTCGCTGCCCGCCCGGGGCACGTCACGGAGTTCCCTGGAGACGTTCCAGGGCCCCCGCCGGGCCCGGCTCTGGGGGGGCTTTGCCGGGAGCCCGGTGGGGAGGGTGGGAGCGGGAGGGGGCAGAGTTCAGGCGGCATCCGCCGGACATGTCTGTCTGCTCGCAACCGTGTCAAACAAGGCCGGGTGCAAGGGGCTGAGATGAAGACGGGATCAGGGCCGGACAGAAAGAGGGCCCGGAAATGGTCATTTTGGTTTCCGTTGTCCAATTATTATCATCATCATCATCCCTGGCAGGGGAGGGGGCCAATGCTAAAGTTTGTCCGGACTGCCAGGAGTCCAGGCACAGGGCTGGATGGGATCGTGGGGCAAAGTGCTTTTCGGGCTGGGGGGAGCTTCTGAATCCACAGGCGTGAGTGGGTGTTTCCCACCACCCAAATTAATGGGGGAGGGGGTGAAAACTCTGACAACCAATTAAAAAAATAAATAAAAGGACCCAAGTTCTGAGCAGAGAGGTTGGTGGCCGTCTGGGGGGACGTCGCTGAGATCCTGGGTTGACTCTGGAGCCATTGCAAGCTCCGTGGGACCTGCCTCAGGCCCAAAGCAGCAGATTCACTGGTTGAAGGGGCGCAGGGCTTGCCTCACACAGTGCAGAACTGGGCCTACAACATCTTTCACGTCATAGCACTTTCACAACTTTGGTGGGTATCCTCCCCATTTTACAGGTGGGAAAACTGAGTTGCCAATTTGCATAAGAATGAGTGTCAGAGCAGGCAAAGCAGCCTGGGTTTCTAAGCTCCCAATACCCTGCTCTAACCACTGGCAACTCCATCAAAGCATATCCTGATCATTATAACTGATACCAGATGGACGATCTTGAGGATGCTCTATCCATTCTCACTGTCAAAACTCCATCTGCACGACTCCGGCTATGGCAACGAGGGCCAGAGCAGCATGAACTACAGCTTCAACAACCAGTGGGAGCCCTAGTCCTTTGGGGCATTTTGACACATGGTCCAGGAGGTATGGGGGGGGGGCTTTAATTAGCGAGCTGTGCTAATGAAAAGCACCCGAGTGTCAGGTGTATTAGTGTCCCCTGTGCTGAAAAATGGTGGTGGGGCGCTTTGAACTAAAGCTCATCAACCAAGTTGGAGTTCAAAGCTCCCTGCTGCCGTATTTTGGTGTGGGGACACTGATGCACGTGCTGCTAGGGTCAGCTGGAGCGCATTTATCCGACGCGCTGACTTTCCAGCCTGTCGGAACCAGCTCGTTTGATTTTCTGACTCCTGTTCCTCCAAGGCTTCAGGTACCATCACGAAACATGCAATAGCCCAATCCTGCAGCCCTTTCCTAGATAAAAAGTCCTACCAATTTGAACTGAGCTCTCCCTGGAGGTGGGTTCATTGCGGGATTGGATCCCACAGCTCCCCAACGGCTGGAGAAGAAACGGGCCCAAGCTACGGGTGTGGGAGGCGAGGGTGAAGCCCACAGCGAAAGGCGGCAAAGTTTACCTGTAAGTTCTTTTCCTGGTGGTGGATGGTGACACCCTCATTGCAATGTGGCAAATAACACTTTACTGGAGAGGAGCTGGTAAATTCATTATGCATGGGGTGGAGTCAGAAAATGTGAGTGCTACTTTCACCTCTGCCACTCGCTTCCTGTGTAAGATCTGGCTCAGAGCAGGAAGTATTTTTATTATGGTCTTGTCCAGCGGCCCAGTTAGGATCAGAGTTCATAGTGCAAGAAGCTGTGCAAACACACACACACAAACAAACTCACTGACCCCTGGCTCTCAAGGGCTTATAATTTAAATGTCCTGAATGCCTTTAGCTCCCATCACCCTTACTAGGGGTTGTGGCAGTTCAGCAACTGTAGAAATCAGATGAGTAACTTCTCTGTGTCGGTTTCCTCATCTTTTAAAATAAAGTCAAATCCTTGTCATCATTACGCAGATCTCTCTACATCAGGTACTTGGAGATCTACGAATGAAAAGTGATTGACAAGTACAAAGCGGTCCTGTCTGTTCTAATTTTAGATGAAAGTACCCAACGAGAGGAGTTACAGACGACATGTCAAAAACTCTGCCTATCTTTGTACCTCTTGATTTGTGCAAAACGTAGTGTTGGTGTGTTCATTTGCATGTGATTTATTGTAACTAAATACATTGTGTATTTTTTGCTCTTATTATTGTGGAGACACACGTACCATCTAGAACCGGGAGCAAATCCTAGATCTTTATAGTTGAACATCTATCTCCACGATTCTGGGGGCTTAGAAATACATATAATCAAACCACAATCTAAAACATCTGCAAACTCCTGAGCAGACCATTCATTCACCTGGAAGCCTCCCAAATGCCAGCCTGTCTGAAACACAAGACAAAAACACCTGTCCGAAAGGAGTCGATCATCTGGTAGACATGCATCGGTAAAAGAGCATGTCAAGGTCTTGTGTAAATATGTATTTACAGGTTTTGCTTAAAGCACATCTCTGGTGGCTCCTCCAAACCTTTTATGGTCCGTGTTGTAGACATGCAACAGTTTCTGAGCTGTAAAAGTCTAGTGGGCAAATACACATGGAGGGGGCCTATTGTCCGTCTGATAAACTTCAGCGATTCCTAGATGTCATCACGATTGTAGATCATGGTGCTATCGTTACTGGTTTACCGCCTGGGACAGCAGTATTCCCATCCAACCACTGCCTCTCGGACAGCTTTCTGTTCTGCTACCGGACCTCAAACCTATGTCATTTTCTATCCTTATTTCTTGCTTGTATTCTACAGCGTTTCCCTCTACAGCGTTGTCTTCAGTCCAGGAATTGGACCCTTGGCATCTCCTCTGTGCACCTGTATCGTTAAGTCTAGTTTCTACACCATGTGTCTGAGTGGGTGGTGTCCTCAGTACTCTTCCCAGTTACACACCAAGCAGACCCAGCTGAGAAACAGGCAGAGGGGGCAAGGGGTCTTGGGAGGGGAGGAGAACACATGAGGAAGTATTTCTCTGACTGCCTGTTCTAGACCATAGACTAACAGCTTTTCCTCCCACCCCCCAAGTGGCTTTTGCCTTTTATTTTTTTTCCCTCAGGTCTTCCATTGTGCAATGGGTTGCTCAATATTCTGCACCTCTTTGCAACATGCTGTTGCATCACCTGGATGACAATAGCAATCATTTGCCCTTCTATTCAAGCAGTCAGGGATTTCAAAGCACTTCAGAAACAACAGCCCTCATCATAATAACGTGGCCTTCGCCTCATGCTTTCCATCCCTAGCTCTCAAGCCACTTGAGAAAGAAGGTCTGTCTCATTACCCCCATTTTACAGATTGAGAAATTAAGTCTCTGGGTGCCCACTTTGCAGGAGTGGTAAACTCCGATACAGAAGGGTTAGGTTTGACAACGTGGCAGCGTGCAGGGTGGCAGCAGAGCCGGGGAGCTCTGGCTCCACAGGCACACTATGATAGGCCAAGGCTCATGGAGACCTGGGGAGAGCATTTCAACATCCTGCCAAAATAGACTTCTTCCCAGCCTAGCCCTGTCCTCCAGTTTCAGGCAGCTCCTTGCTACCCCCTGGAGCAACTCTCCCCTCCTGCCTTCTTATGGGTTGTCTTGCTTGCCTGAGTCCTTCCCGGTCCAGCCACCTAGAACAGCTCTGATCAAGAGGCAAACCAGTGACTGACAACAATGCGTGGGGTGTTGCACAGCACCTGCGACCCCAGGGCACAAGGCAGGGTAGGGTTGCACCTTCACTTGACTAAGGAGGCACAAACTTTTGTAGGCTATGGACTCCAAGGCTGGACTCAGCCTGCGAGCAGTGGGGAAGGCAAACTGGATGACTGCCCAGGGCCCCACACTTTTGCAACAAATGTCTGAATTGCTTCTAGGTCATCAAAATGAAGCCGCCCCCAAAATGACTCTCTTGCCCAGGGCCCCAACAACCCTAAGGCTACCACTGCTGTAAGGTGCTGTCCTGCCCTGCCTTCTGCCTGAATTCAGACTCTTTGTCTCTGAGGATCACTCCTCTGGGCTCTGCCTTCAAAAGGAGCCAGAAAAGAAAAGAAAAGGGCCCAGGGTTTATTTTTTGCATCTCTGTGAATGCATCAAGAAGGCGTGAATGGGCTCAGGGAAAGGTGCCTTGAGGGTCCTAGTTGTTTTACTTCTGAACCAGCAGGAAGATCAAGTCTGGCCTTCCCTGTTTGGCTGGAGGGACCCGATACCTGGCCCTGGGGCATTCCTAGCTCTCAGCCTCAGTCCTTCCATGGGAGACATACCTGCTTGCCAGGAGCAGGACTGCCAGGCTGCTAACAACACCAGGCAGAGATCCTGGCTCACGCTCCTCCTACCTCTCGTGCCCTCTGCTCCCAGCCTCCTGCAGCTGGGATGTCACAGCCTTTCCCCTGGAGTCCTCAGAGGAAGGAGCATGGGCTGGGCCTCCTTTTCCCACACACAACTCAGTAGGAAACCAGAGCAGAAGGGGACCCTGGGGCTTCTTTGCTCTCCTGATCACTCTGAAATAAAGAGGCTGAGGCCTCCCCGAGAACAGAGGATGGATCTTGACTTACCCCTTCTGGAGACCAGGATGGGGCCTGTGCTGCTGGCACTCGGACTCCAGAGGCTGCTGGGGCGAGCCGGAGCTGCCTGGCTTGGCAGTGAATGGGATGAATCCCTCTGTGACCGTGCAGGGCTTCTGGGGCTCCTCTTCTGTCCCTGGAGTTGCTGAGTTGAACTGAGGCTAATGGAGCCCAGAGCTCCCCTCGTTTCAGGGCTTCCCTGGACAATCTTCCCAGCTCCTCCCAGATCAACCCCCGGAAGGACTCTCCCTTCTAGCTCTCCAGGCTGGACTCTTGTTTTCTTCCCATTCCTGAGTCCTTGATGTTCCTGCCAAATGAGGCAGCCCAACCCAGCAAGTAGCTAGCTGGCACCATTCTGCTGTTGGGCTGCGTCAGTGCTCTGCCTCTGACTCATTGCTCCATGCAGGCCCTGTGTGGTTGTGGCAAGAGATCCCAAGGATCCTGTGTTAGTCCTCTCCCTGCTCCTTCAAGGTCTGTTGTGGGGAGGCAGGTCCCGAGTAGGAGATAAGTGAGTCTGGGATTTGCTGCCAGCCAGCCCTGGGCTTTGAGTCAGTTCCAGGATCTGTTGTGTGGCCACCGGCAGAGAGCAAGCCTGCCGCACGCTCATAGCACCATGCCTGCCGCGCCTGCTCTCCTCAAATAGGTTGCTTCTGCCGGTCTCAGACTGGGACATCACACATGCACGGAAGCACTAAGACCGTCTGGCATGAAAGCCAGCGTGTCCAGGTGATGCATGGAGGTGCTCAGTTCAGAACCACGGTTTTACTTTCAAGGTAAGTATGCTTCTGGCCCTCCTGGTTGTCGAGAGAACCGTCCAGAGGAGACCTGAGCCTTGCCAATACAATGGTGTCTGCCTGAGTCTGCAGACAGCCTGAAATAAGGGACCCAAAGAGGGGAAATTCCCACAAACTGGGGAGAGAATAAGGAACTGGGCACACAACAGCCCACCTTTTGTTCATTGTATCCAAGCAGTGCTCTCCCTTCAACCCCTGCACACACCCCAGGGGCCTTCACCTTCACACTGCAGGGAGCAGGCACTCGTTAATTAACTCCCCAGCCCATAGTGAAACAGGCACCAGCCCTCTCTGTGGATGAGCTAGATGGCTTTGCACTCCCAGCCAGGTGAACTGGTCTGAAGACGAAAGACTTATGAAGAGAGGCTGACAGGCATGGGACTCTTCAGCCTGGAAAAGCGCAGGCTCAGGGGGGCCTGGTGGCAGCCTATAAGAGGTGCATCAGGGTCTGGGGGAACGCCTGTTCACCAGAGCGCCCCAAGGGATGACAAGGTCAAATGGTCACAAACTCCTCCAGGGGCTGGACTCGATGATCACAAGGTCTCTTCGAGCCCTAAGTCTATGAAATCTATAAAGACTATTTTAGGCTGGACATAAGGAAAAACTTCACTGTCTGAGCCCCCAGGGCCTGGAACAGACTCCCTCCAGAAGTGGTGCAAGCACCTGCTCTGGACTCTTCTAAGAAATGCTTGGATGTCGATCTTGCTGGGATCCTATGACCCCTTCTGACTTCCTGCCCCTGGGGCAGGGGCCTGGACTCCATGATTTTGCAAGGTCCCCAGCCCTATAAAGGTTTTACACGCACAAAAGTAATGGAGGCACCAGCGGGAGCGCTCTCCATCTCTCTGGGGCAGAGAGGAACGATTTGAGATGAAAGGCTTCTGCTCTGGAAATGACACATCTGATGACTGCTGCACAACGACAGCAGTGAACCACGTGCCAGACTGAGCGCCAGCGCGCTGGGTGCTGTACACACACGTGGCCACTGACAGTCCCAGCCCCGACCAATTTGCTGTTGAACAAGATGAGACAAGGCAAAGGTCTGTCCCAATCATAACAGGCCCATCCTCTTAGCCTGGGTAAGGCCCACCTGCTTCTTAGCCAACACCATTTGACCGGGTACCCACCAAAACCCAGGGGCGCTTTTGGCATGAGTTCAGAGCCAGGCTGAGACATCTGTGAGTCCCTGGCGGCCATCATAGAGGACGGTCGGGTTTTCTGCTCCTCTGTCCTCTATTGATACGAAACCCAACGCCTTTACATCCTCTATTTTTCAAGAGAAAAATCCCCACAGACGCTGGCAATGGAGGCAGAGAGGCTTGGCTCTTAAGCACACGGGGAGCCAACGGCAAAGCCCAGAGCTGACCCCGCAGCAAATGAAGCCGGGCTCACAGCCGGACTCATCCACTGGCCTTTCTTCCTCCCCCATAGCGATCGAGAAAAGCAAAGGGATGAAGAGGCTGCTCGGAGAGGAAGGACCAGGTTACCTCAGCGCTGCCTCAGGAAGCCGGGGGACACGTGAAAGCATCCTCCATTAGAAGCAGCGCACGGCCCCCCTGGGTTTCTTGGCTCGGCCCAAATGTCTTGGTGCAAGACGGCCACCAGCCCTAGAGCAGAGCTGCCGTCCTGCCCAGGATCATCCCCGCCACCCTGGGCGGTGTGGTGAGGGCAGCCGCCCGCGGGCCCCGAGCCCAGTCGCAGGCTCCGGCTCGAAGGACGGCGGCAGCTATTGCTGCCACCCCCTTCATCCCCCCGTGCGCCCTAAAGGCCCTGGCGGGAGCGCCCGTTGGAAACCTGGGTCTGGCCGCGAGGCAGAGCTCCCTCCCCGCCACCCGGAAGATGCTAAGGACAGAGCAGGCCCTCACGCTCCCTAATTTGTGAGTGACGCGAGGAGGGACGGAGGAGGACAGAGGGCTGCCATTGCCTGACCCCTCGTGTGGAAACTATGGCAACGGGAAAGGAGTCTCGTTAAGGCAGGATCCCAGTTCTGCTGGCAAGGAGCCAGGCAGGCTGCGCCGAATGTGTGGATCAAAGGTGGAACGGTGTCCTGGCCTCGCGCGCACGCTCACATGAAGAGGCAGCGCTCCCTCCGAGGCCTCGGCTCTCCTCTTCTTCTCGGGAGGGCGCGAAAGCCATGGCCTTGTGTGGAGAGCCAGTCTGC